AGAGATTGAGAGAGAGGCAGTGTGAGACAGAAGAGAGAAATTAAGAGAAAGAGAGACAGACAGATAGATTAGTGAGAAAGAAAGAGTGAGATGGAGACAAAGAGAAGACAGAAAGACCTTGAAACAAACACAGAAATAGAGACAGAGACAGAGAGAGACAGATAGAGAGAGAGAGAGGGAAGTGATTTATCACTGAAAAGCTACTTGTTATGATGCCGATTTAAAAAGAACTCAAATGAGAAGAAGAAGCCACTTGACTTCAGACTGTTTACAATTCATAAGCAGGACAGATACAAACAACGAGAGTGTTATGAGTGGAATAGGTGGGCTTAGCTTCAACCAACACTCAGACGAGGACATGTACTCACTTTCACTCTCTCTCTCTCTCTCTCTCTCTCTCTCTCTCTCTCTCTCATACACACACAGAGAGGCAGAGCTGATTTGGTAAGTGATTTGATTATGAGGCCTGTGCTGCCTGTAAGGTCTGCAGTGGTGATGAGTGTAGCTGATGGAGCATATTGTGAAAGCACTGATGCTGCTCATATTAGCATTTAGTGCTAACTCACACTGAAATTCAGCTTTCGTTCTCTGTATCACTTCAAAAGCTGCAAAAGCTCTTCAGCTGCCCCCACTCATACACTGTTTAAAGATACAGAACTCTTCCATCTTCCATTTATGCACAATCCCATTCACATAAATATATATATATATATCACTGTTGTCGGAACAAAATCTCGTATCTCCAAAATGCTAACTTTACAAGGAAAAAACCTACTTTACTTTTAATGTCAATGGAACCAGAATTTTTTCGAAGTCATTTTGGGTCCATTCATCATGAAAAATGACAAAAATGGAAATAAATCAGTATTACATTGTGTACTTTATCCATGAGGCAAAAACACACAGCTTAGCGGTGGCTGCTGTGATATCAGCTTGGTTTTAGATTTGAGCTGATTTGAATGTAATAGCCCTAAGCTAATAACTTGAACTTTACAGCCACACAAGTTGAAAAGGGAAAAGAATATCAGGGAGCAAAACAGATATGATAAGTTCTATTTATATGGTGCCTTTTACAAACCCAAGGACACTAACAACTGAAATACAGTGCTGTGATAAAGAATTCTATTTATATGAATGTATATGTATATACATATATAACCATCTTTCTCTTGTAAGTAGCACTCTAACATTTGAACCCACTGCTGCCCACTGGAGAATGTGAAATGACGGTGGGAAAAAGAGCTGTATATTGTCCAGATTAGTCAGTTAATTGATTACTCAATCAAAACAAAAATAAAACTGACCTTTATAAATTGGCAATGATTAGATGTGAGAAGTGTGTGTGATGATAACGCATGTATTAATTTCTTCTCTAGTCTCTCCTACAGCAGCAAAGAGACGTACGTTTTTTGTTTTTTTTGTTGACCAAATAATGTTTATATATTCTTCAGTGAAGTAATTTCAAAGGCTTCTTAGTTGATCTTTTACCAGTAATATGTAGTTTGGCTTGATATTGTACAGTTTGGCTTTAAAGAAAATAAAAATAAATAAATAAAATTCTGATCACTTGATGAATCAATGAAATAATCAGTAGGTTACTCAGTTACTAAAGCCCCTTTCACACATGTTTAACCCTTTAAAATCCCAGGCTTATTATATACTAAGGCTTATTATTCAGTAAATATAGGGGCTTCAGTGCAAACTGGTTGAGGTTATAGAAGTGTGTAATAAAACTGGCTATTTAAGGGTTTAAGTGGAAATGTAAAAACTAAAAAAGTGGGCTAATTAAATAGGAAGGGGCAAAGTGTAAGCGCGAGCCGGAGTCGTAATCCCGGTAAAACTGGCACCACAATTGATCAGCATGAGGCCAAGTACAGTTCCTGGGAAATCACCAGGAGGGCTTACGTGTGAACAGAAGCCAATACGTTATCAGGCAAGTTGAGTAACATGTCAGCTTCTGTTGTTTTTACAGTCAAACTGAGTTTTCATGAGTGAAAAATGTTACAAGAGTATATTTAGTACGATCCTAGTGGAATATCACTCAAAGAGAAGCATCAGATGTGAGTGAGTACGCGGTAAAATACCGCTTAAAGGCTGCAAGCGAGAATAATGTGAAGCCTGAACACTGGCGGTAAAGGTATGCCCGTAATGCACTGGGCTCTAACTAAGAAAAGGACCTAATATAATTGATAGGAATTGTCTACTGCGAAGTGTAAAAGTGGAATTCTGTGAAACACAGCTCAAAACAGATGAGCCGGTTAGGTCCTTGCTCAACGCCGTGCAGTGCTGACCAGCGCAGAGCTTGTGTGTAATGGCCCTCTTTTTTTCCAAGGCTTTGTAAAGGTCAGCCTCCTCTAATGGTCACCATTCCTCAATCTGTCCCTTAGAGTGTACTGCAACCTGAACCTGAACCACACACACACACATACACATCATTGATAGTTCCCACCGGCACCGTCTTCAGATTTATCCTAAAGGGAGAATGCATGCTGAGGTATAAAAGCTACCATCAGAAAGCTGGGGGGGTCATAAAGGGGCTCATTATCTCTTTTGAAAAACGGCATGTGCAGTTCCCCTAACGAGCTGGTAGTCATTGATTAGTTGCCAAAGTGTTATAGTGTTTAGTAATGGCGTCGGGTGAAACTGCTTTTACAAACGCTGCTCCGTTAATGGGAATTACCACAGCCTTTGATCCAAAATGGCAGCTAACAACCTTACATATTTATCTGCTCAGCCTGTAGTGCTCTTCTTATTCTGAGAAGAACTACAGAGAAAGAGAGAGAGAGAGAGAGAGAGAGCGAGAGTATACAATCCCTTGATATCACCTCTTTGCCTCGTCCTCTTTTCTCTCTCTCCTCACCCCTCATTTGTTCAGATTTTAATTTAGATCAAAGGAACATGGTGCACATCACACCTGATTAAACTCAAATTGTTAAACGACTCCATTACAAACACACACACACGTGCGCACACGTGGAGAAGACCATTATTATACTCATCTTTTCTTCGTGGACTTTTCTGGCTGTGCTATAATTAGTTTTAGCTGACAGGAAAAACAGAGCAGTCTAGAGATCCATCCCCAGAAATGTGCTCGCTCTACAGGAGCATTATTAAAACACTGGGTGGTCTGTTAATATAAACTTTGCCCGCGTGATCACTGGTTGAACTAACATCGCGTCCTTCAAACTGTGTGCTTAGGTCTATTGGAACAAGGCTGGGTAAACATACAAAAGAGTTTTTTCATATGAAAACTCTGTTGGCGTCTGGTTATATATTAGAGTATGGGGGGGGTGGGACACTAGTGGTCTTCAAATAACTACTGCTTTTTTATGATATATGCTGGAGGAAATCATTTGTTAAATCGGCCATTCACACTATATTACTTACGTAACGCTGTTGTCAGAACAAAACCTCGTATCTCCAAAATGGTAACTTTATAGGAGAAGGAAAAAACCTTCTTCACCTTTAATGTAAGTCAATGGAACCAGACATTCTGGGCCATTTCTTTTGATCCATTCATCATGAAATTTACACACAATCTAAGGGGCAACAGGTATTTTCAAATTATGTAAAAAACTGAAAACGACAATGAATCGATTATTTTTGCATCAATTATTTTGATAAATAATCGAGCAAAAATAATCAAGCAATCAGCCTTTGTATTCACAAAAGCTAGATAATAAAAGCTGACTTAACTGAATATATACAAACCAAGCACAGCCTTCAAAAACTCCAAAATATGTTGTTGGAAAAAGAGGAAAAAGATAAACTAGTAAGACTTTAAAAAGATTCCATTAATATAAACTGTAGTCTTGGGCAACTGAGGACATCGTATGTAAAGCTGTTTATCTGGGCAGTAAGCATTTATTTATTTTAAAATATAAATAAAAATAATACTGTGATAAAAACAAATAAATAAAAACTATATTTAGATACAGCTGTAATTCATTTTTTCATAACCATTTTCCAGCCTCTCATCTATCTTTACAGAATTAAACAGGCTCTTTTTGCTCCTGTGCCTTTAAGACTGATATATTTATTTGATCTCTGTTCTGATTGGCTGCCTTGTACTATGCCTCATTCAAAAAGCAGTCTGTGCTGAAACGCTCATAACTTCAACAAGAATGAGACGGGGCTAAACTGCTGCAGGCTGAATAAGTGGAAAAACATAAATGATGACATCAGAAAACCATGAATCCAAAACAGGCTGTTTCTGCAATTTAATGTATACATAATGTAATATATGGACTGTACAGAACACAGAGTGAATGTTAAACTTAAAAATGTTTACACACTACATCAAACCCTTTTATTTAAACAAAAAAATGAGGAACTTAGTTAAAATAATTCAGCCTCTTTAATAACTTAACATTTTGTTACATTTTAACTGTATCTATGTGTATTTGTATTCATTTGAAAGTCAGTATTTTATTGGCAAAAACATACTTGTTGCTAAGACCATTTTCATGGCTGTTTAAGACTTTTGCACCATATTGTCCACAAATGTGATATGAGAATGAATATTTTTTATCATGTAAACTGCCAACTATACACTGCCAATGTCCTTTAGAGGTACATTTTAATGAATGCATATTTTGTAATACATCTCTACACATCTGCTTATAGCACAGGAGCACACAAGGGAAGGCTCTCTCTATCTCTCTGTCTCTCTGCTGTGTGAGCATGAGTCATTTTAACCTTTGACCTTGTTAGTTTGAACTCTGAGAGGACTTAGGATTTATCACTCTATACACACACACACACACACACACACTAAAAGACACTCATGCAGCATATGGTGAAGGCGTGATGCCAATTCCATCCTGAGGGACACATGAACTGAGCAGAATGTGTTCCGCTGCGGTGCTCAGCTATCTCCATATACACACACACACACACACACACAACACAATTATTTATCCTCACACCCACACACGCTAACACACACATGCTCACTCACTGCTTTTCTCCCCACTCACTTCACCGCCAACCCAAACTGACACAGTGTATAAGAATGACAGCAGCAGTACTGCAGGGGAGGCAGAGGCGTCATGACAGCTCCACAGTACAAAATATGAACAAAACTGTTGAGCTGCATCAATACTGAATTTCTGGACCAACAACAATAACCAATACGCCTTGTTGTGGCTAATACTGACACTAATAACTGATACCAGTAAGTGATTTCAAATTTTTATTAAATGCAATGTGTGTAAAAATGGACCACAATTTTACTGAGCCATATCAGATTTTCATTATTATACAGTCATATGAAAAAGTTTGAACTCCTCTGGTTAAATTACATGTTTTTTTGATTTTCTTAGTGAAAGAAAGTTAACAAAACCTCTACAGAGAACAAAAAAATGTTATTTTTCTGCAAAGTTTAGTGCACAATTTCTATTTATTTGCTGAAAACATAAAATATAAAATGTACCATAACTTTTTTACAGGCCACACTGCATAGAAGTGAGCTCTCTGTGGAGGATGTGTACTTATTTTCACTTAACAGTCAACAAAACATGTCATCTGACCAGGGATACCCAAATGTTTGCATACGACTGTATATGTAAATATTTTGCATTATTTAGTAGAATTTCAGAGCCACTAACAGTGGCAGCTAACACTGTACTCTTATTGTTATAGCAGTGGCGTTCCTGCCTGGATGGGGACTTGTACCTGCAATCTTCTTGTGTGGGATGGTGGTGCGGTCTAGTAAGCTCTGTATGAGCAACTTCAAAAGAATGGAGGTCCCCATCACGTGTTGTCAGTGAGATAAAAATGATTGGTTGTGATTTTCAGGAGTGATTCCAATATTATACTAGTAACAATATAATTTTACATTTTATCAGAGAATAATATATTGCATACCCCTAAAAAAGACCTATGAAGTCCACACAAAAAGATCAAAAGTGTTCCTTCACTGTGCACCAAAACACAAGTCAACACCACAATGCAAAACTGTATTGTAATTAGAACTACAGTCATAAACTGCATACATGTTCAGTGTTTATGTTCTAATAGTAGGAAAAATCTGCAATTATTATTATGGCTACGTTCACATTACAAGCCTCACTGCTCAAATCCAGTCTCTCTGACATGATGCTTCACACTCGTTTAGGTAAGTGATTCAAATCTGGCATTAATGTGAACGAACTGGCGTCCTGAATTGACCCGCACACGCACATCCTACTCAGTAACGTCACGTGAATGAATCACATGCGTCATGTGCTTCATCAGCAAACAGACTAACGAGCAGAACAAGCCTTCATTGTGAAGATAATTAACTCTGAACAGCTCTCAACTGTTCATTATTAGAGCCAGACGAAGACGAAAAAGGTGAGATGTGTTGGTTTTCCACCATTTACAGGCTTTAACTTCTGTTGCTGCTGTTGCTGCCATGGTAACGCTGAATGATGGCGCATGCGCAGTGGAAAAAAAGCACATGAATTCCGATCTGAGCGTTCACACTAAGGTTGTATGGCCATGAATTGGATACGTATCCAATCTAGGACCACGTATGAAAGCTCGGGTCGGATTTGAAAAGATAAGATTTGTGTGTCCACACAGCCCTGAAAACATCAGATCTGAGTCACATTAGGGCAAAAAATCTGATTTGTGCCACTTCAACCCGGTAATGTGAACGTAGCCTAAGTGCTAACTGAACAATGAAAACATATTGCAAAAGACAAAAAATATTAATATGGATGAGTTGAAGTGAAGTTGTGTGGAACACACACACACACACACACACACACACACACACACACTGTGTTAAGAGGGCCAGGGCTGCAGACTGGTAAAGTCACAGCAATCATTAATTGAGGGCTGATAGTTGGAGGAAGGGATTTTAAAAGCTTACACAGAAGCATATGTGGGACTGAGTGTGTGTGTGTGTGTGTGTGTGTGTGTGTGTGTTCTGTAGATTGTACACCTGTCAATAAAGCAATAGACTGAAAACTCCCTCACATCAACAGCATTGATCACTGTAATTGCACTCATTGTGTATGAAAGCAAATGAAAACAATTAAATGTCAAAACACTCACAAACACACACACCCAGCACCACAAGTGGACTTTGTTTATTGCAAAAGATGATGACAAACAATATGTCAAGTAAATGGCACCAGTGAATTTGTAAATTACAGTGAGAAATGTCTATATTACACACTTTTATAAATGACTTGCCAAACCGTGGAAACAACAAAAGCTGTGTCCTCAAAAACATCCCTGTATGCACGTGTGTGTGTGTGTGTGTGTGTGTAAAACTCTTCATTCTTTGTCTTCATTCTGTTTAACATCTTAATCTGTGCCAAACCCCACTGCTTTAAAGACAGCGAAAACAAAAGATGACAATGACAGGGATTATAATTTCAATCTTGGATTTTCTGGGAATAATACTGAGTGCTCTAAGCCGACTGCACAAACTCTGATTAAACATTTCTACACCAGTGCAGGGTGTGTGTGTGTGTGTGTGTGTGTGTGGTCAGGATGATAAAACTTATTGTCTGGCTGCTTCTCTCCCTCTTGAGACTGGGTGAGGATGATAAACATGCTCACATATCATAACTGTGTGATGGCGCACTTGACTGTTACAAAGAGATGTCAACACAGGTGTGTACACACTGAGACAAGACACATATGACAAACACACACACATACAGTACGTCAAAAAAATACAGTGGTATATCAGTGACACTGTACATATTAGGACTCAGACAAAGGACTCAGGATCCACCAGAGGAGTAAATATGAATGATTAGTTGTGAATATGAGGAGTGAAACTACATTGTCGTTATTAATTATTAAAGCTACACTACGTATGTTTGGGGCTTTAGAGACTTTAGAGCTGTTTCCTGAGACTTGGAAAACTCTGTTTACTTATACTCTAGGACTTTCAAAACAATCTGAAACTCCTTATAAATTACATAAACTGCAGAAAACTGTCAAGTCAAGTGGATGCCATGAAAAAGACACATAAAAAAACAACAAAAAAAAACTTGGCAATACTAACACAGTTAGTTTACAGGTGTTATGTTATGGATAACATACACATATTCCTAAATGTAACTTGAGCTACTTTAACTCTGAATTCTAGCTTCAGCACTCTGAGAAATGCTTGTTTATGATAGTCAGAAAAAAATCAATGCTTCTTTACTGTTGTGTGCATGGGCAACAGAGAGATAGAGAGAGAAAGCGAGAGAACAGAGAGAGAAAAAAAGAGAGGGGTGAGAGACAGAGGGGGAAAGAGAAAGAGAGAAAGAGAGAGAGAGCAGGGTGGGGTGAAAGAACCTGGGGAAAGAGTATATGTTCTCAGGTGCAGAGTAATGCAGCCAAGTGAAAGACAACACCTGCTACTCTGATGAGAACACACATACACACACACACACACACACACACACACACACACACACACACACACACCTCAATAGAAAGATTGAGACAGGTCATCTTTCACTATGGAAAACTCCTGAAACATAACTCCACACGTTACCATTAAACAGAGAGAGAGAGAGAGAGAGAGAGAGAGAGAGAGAGAGAGAGAGAGAGAGACATAGAGACTGAGAGAGAAAGAAAGAGAGAAAAAGAGAGAGAGAAAGAAAGAGAAACAGAGAGAGAGAGAGAGAGAAAGAGAGAGAGAGAGACTGAGAGAGAAAGAAAGAAAGAGAGAAAAAGAGAGAGAGAAAGAAAGAGAGAGAGAGAGAGAGAGAGAGAGAGAGAGAGTGAGAGAGAGAAAGGCAGAGAGAAAACGAGAGAGAGATGAACTTTCCCGAAACAGTCAAAAAGCTACAGTTGTGGCTCCAACTGAAGTGCAGTATAACACACTGGGTCAGAACTACAGTAGCCATGGTGCATTAGGGTGGCATGGTGAGAGGTAATGAGATTTGTGCAGAGACTGACCCAGTTATTCACGCCTGCAGCAGACGTGAGTGTGTTTTTGTGTGTGTGTGTGGTGAAATCAAAGAAGCAAAGTTGTATTCGCTTTTGGTTACACTCCATTGTTTAAATTTTGCAGAAACATGACATCTTCGCAAGCAAAACCATCTTAAATCTAGTCAATATATGCAGCATTTTTCATTAGAAGACATAAGAAGTGGTTAACTTTTTTATAGTTATTGTTTACATGTTTTAAGTAATGTTGTCTTATGAAATGTTTACTACAATGTCAGAAAACTTCTTAAAACAAGCACATTTTCTAATTTCATCTGCCACACTTTTACAACATAAAATTATTTAAAACATATAAAATTATCTAGAAATAGGTTAACTTTCCCTTCTTATATCTTCGTATGAGATATATTAAATATATTGATATAAGAATATAAGATTCAGGATGATTTTCTTGCCAAGATCATATTTTTTTGCACTGAATGAATGTTTCTGTGTGTGTGTGTGTGTGTGTGTGTGTGTGTGTGTGTGTGTGTGTGTGTGTGCGCTCTGTCTGCTGGAGTGAGAGAATGTCGCAGACGAGCACACAGTAGAAAGGCTGAACATATAGCGGAATGAGACTGACAGAGAGAAAACGGCGAGAGTTCATTGTTTCCAATCTAGTATGAACCACTTCTTATATACACATCACTGAACTCAAACCGAGGACTAAATAAGAGTCTGCAGAAGAACAGCAAGTGCAGCGCGACACACAGACTGTCTTTCTCCGCTGAGCACAGAGCCGACAGTCTGCGGTCTGCAATTTGAGTGAGCGGTACGTGAGTTGCGAATGCCCCTCTGAGGGGCAGATCTGTGGGACAGCGCAGTCTTTGTGCTCTCTCACTATGGAACAATACCCTCAGCTCTTTTCCCCACCAGCCCACAGTGACAAAGTAGGCCAGGTTGCCTAGTGCACCGCTGGTCGCCCCTGACAACCCCAGAGTCTGTACAGCTAGCTGGAGAATGGGGGAGGGTGTGGTGAGAGGAGGGGCAAGTTTTTCATTCATCTACACACACACACACACACACACACACACACGCACACACTCACACACACACACACTCACACACTCACACACACACACTCACCCTCCCCCAGTCTCACAAAACAAAGTCGGCCATGTCAAATCAATCGGCAACGCCCAAGGACATCAATATGGGGCCAATAAATCTCGCTGGAGGGAAACCCGACCTCTCACCTCTGCGCTGACTTCAGAAGCGCTCTGCTAGCAGGTTCACTAACACAGACGGAACTGCTTAAAGGGCCCATATCATGGAAAATCGAATATTCCTCACTTTTTTCTTAAATGAAGGAGTTCAAAGAAGTATGTAAACAATGTTAAAGTTTTAAAATGTACTGTCTACTGCAAAGTACATATGGTATGTGTACCAAATCTCCGCTGCACAGTGGCTTGTTTTGAACTGACTGTTTCTGTGATGTCATGGTAACCGACACATCTGCATATACCCGTCTATTCAGCCTATTGCAGCCACTCATGCTGATGTTATAAGGAGTGTTTCAGTCAATGCTGCTTTTTGAATAAGGTAATACAGGGAAACAAAAATTAATAGAAGAAAAATGCAGGATTTGAGCCCTTTAAAATGTTAAAACAGCTCAGGAACACAACTGAAGCGTTGATTTGGCAAAAAAATCCTTACTCTAAATGTAGTTGATCAACCAAGGCATGTTTGATTTGGTTGGTGTCTGAAGTTTGCTGTTCTACCTTAGCACTTGAGCTACAAGGCTAATGTAGCAAACTAGTATTAAAAATAGGCAAAATTATGGCACATAGCTGAAAACAGGCTTTGAAGCCATAATGAAGCTTTAATTTGGTGAATTTGTTTACAGTAAATCATACAGTGTCAGAAACCAAACAAGCAAGTCTATCTAAGATTACTTACAGATTGGCATTATACTAACAAGTGGCTATAAGCGACTACTTGTTAGCTACAGCAAGCCTTAGACAGCAAACATGTCTTTCCTCACTGACTCAATCTGGAGTAAAAGTTTAAAAAACTGCAAGTTTGATTTTTAAACTAACCCTACACACAGTTCATTAAGCGGA